TCTTGTCCTGGTACCATCTGGATCTTCATCACAGTTTCTAGGGTGGCAAACGTGAGCCTTTCAGGGCAGATTTTCTCACTTTAAAGTCTCTGCAGGAAGTGATTAAGATAGAAGTAGAAGCCTAAGAATAGTTTCATGGAGAGACGGTCTTTAATTGATGAATCAGTAAAAAATGGATGGGAAGAAGGAGGTGTTGAGGAGAGAAAGGAGGCAAAAAATTAGCTGCAATATAGAATACTTTAAAGAGAAAGCAGGGAGACAGTGCTGCAAACTTGATACTAGTAAGGAGGAAATGAATGAACAAGAAGCAGTAAGTGGTTTTTTTGAAGTCTGAGTAATAATTGACTGAATAGTCAAGCCATCTTACCCAGTAAAGGGGCAGAGAATGGCAATATCCTTCCTAGCAGGTAGGATCACTTGTTTTCATTTTTCAGTTCAACACTCAGAGCTGTAAGAGAATGATGACATGGCCTGTAACTACTATAGCTGCCATAAACTTAAGAGTAAGTGGAAAAACAAGCAAACAGTTGTTCACATCTAGATTTCTTTTGGGAGGTGGTTCTGAATGGGCAAAATACCAAGATGTTTCTTTCAGTCTCTAGCTGATTCAAAAGAGATGTTAGGGTTTATAGTTATGTAAATATCATCACCTACGCATCAAAATTAAGCAACCACACTTGCAAAATTACTATGGATAGTAGTAAGCAAGCAAACCACATATATGCATCAGTAAGTTTAAGCATCTAGTGAAAGGACAGGAAAGAAAGTGATACTCTTTTTTTTTCCTGCCTCTTTTTTAAGTAAGAAATTTAGAATATGCCACATATACAATGTGTTGAAAGAATATCTTTTTAAAATTCCACTTCACCGTTGGATGACTAAACAAAGGAGGGGGGGTTGGAAGCTGAAAAGACTAAAATCTTTGGTGGGCTGTGCTGTCAGGTATCTGATACTGCACTCCCCTTTAGCCGATCTTAAGATTACACAGAATAATGCATTACTTACTAATGATTTTAGTGTTTTTGTCTTGAAAGGCTGTAATTAATCGAATAGATTTGGTCCCACCAAAGTAGAAAGTTAATTTGCTAGTTCTGACCAAAATATGCACATATCAGGCCACTGGCAGACATTGTATGTGTTGCACATTATATCCAAGTATCATGTCTCATTCAGAATCTAGGATGAGTTGAACTATGCTCCTGATTCTGGTAAGGACCTTTTTGATGCACACACAGCTTTAATTTGGCATTTTTGGGCCTGAATAGCTGTGTCCTTGGCTTTCCTTGTTCAAGTTACAGTGCTATTAATTTTAAAAACAACAAAAAATCATTCTATGAAATTAGCTTTTAAAACTTACTGGTGAGTGTCATGGGCTTGGTTTTTGCCTAGGTCACTATCTTGCCTGCCTGAAGTTGACAACAAATAATTTTAGAGATTATAATCAGTGTAGCAAACTATTTTACATACTGCTGGCATTAAAAAAAGCCTTTGAATTGTGATGTAGTGTCAGAGAAAGAAGTGTTAATGGTGATGGGAGCACCGAGTTACTTTACCGAATTTTTTTTAGAATCTGCCAGACAAACGCTGCACTGAATACCATTTGTTTTTCATACTTGGAGTGTGAACAGTTGCCATTAGTAAAGTACAGTAGAATATATACATCTATGTAAATCCTCACTTAAAAGTGTTTTAAATTAGGACTATGGTGAATGAGTCAACTAATCTCATTTTTGACACATGACTCAAGAAAGGGAACTAATTCTAATCACCACATACAGATCAGTAATTTTGAAGCATCTGAATAGATAGTTAAACTACGATAATTTAAATGAGAATCAGGCCCAAAGACCTTTAAAACATGACCTTGCAAGGAGGTGGGAATCTGGAGTTGGTTACTAAACTGTCTTTGCTAGTTTTCACTTAGACAATGTTTACAGTGATTTTCATTTCTAATTTGGGTGTTTTATTTTATTTATTTATTTTTAATGCAGGCCTATGGTAAATGTCAGTATTGGGTTTTTTTTTTGGATGTGGTAAAACTGGTTAAAAAAATGAAACAAACAAAACATAACCCCCCTACCCCAAAAAACAAAAACATGTTGCACTACTGACTTGATCAACTATGTCAACTTAAACCTGAGGACCAGATTGTAACCTAGTGTGCTTTTTTTCCCCTCTATATTTGCATAGTTAACCACAGGCTCTGTCTCATAGCACTAGTGTGACTGATATGCAAGGAATTCACATTTCTGACTAAAATAGACCTCTTAGATGTATGCTCCTCTCCTCAATTCCATACAGAAATCTTTGTCAGAATTTAGTTGAAATGACACACATCAAAACCAAAACAGAGCACCTCCTGTATAGGAACAAACATTTTTATTTAAGTCAAGCATAAATTTTATTAAAGACAAAATATCTCTGATGGGCAGGTATGCAGAGGAGTAAATGGTAGTTAACTCCCATTGATCCCCCCCCCCAAACAAGTTGGGACCTTCCTCCCATCTCTGTTAAGAATTTAACTTAAGGGAACTTTGTGAGTAGCCTGTGTGGCTATGCCCCACCATTATAAGTTTGCAAGTTCATGTTAAAAGTGGCCTAGCACTATTTTAGGTGCTTTTGTAGGGTTCTAGGTACTTTAGAGATGAGTATCAGTGATGCTGTGGGTATTCATTTATCTAAGATCACTGATGCTCTTTCATGATTCCACTCTTCACAATTTAAAGAAAGCAGTGCTGAGGCTTTTCCGCCATCATCACCACCAAGGACATTACTGTCTTTCTAACACTGCCACTCTGCTGTTTCAAGACTCTGGCATGGAGTAAATACATGTTTCTGCCTATCTTATTGTATAGGCTAAGGTAGGGGCTGGCACCTTTTTACAGACTGAGAACCAAGAACAACCTGGCTCCGGTCCAATGCAGGCAGGGCAGATTCAGTTGCACATCAGCTGTAATGGTGGGCCTTTCCCAGTGTCCCTCCCAGAGCCACACAGATGGGAGCTGTGCCTACTGCTGCACCACTTGCCAAACTCCTGCTCCCCAGATGCAGCATGTGCACAGCTTCCAGCTGGCAGGCAATTGTTCCAGGGTCATATCTACAAATTACTGCTTCTCTCCCTCCTCTCCAGATGCTGTGGAGGTACTGCTGGAATCTGAGCTCACACTGCAGTTGGTAGTAGGTGGGAGACCAGCAGGAAAAAGTGGTGGGAGCATGAAGACACTTTCTAGTTGCCTAGCCCTGTTGCAGCCCTCCACAGACTGGAAGCTACACCTGTGCTGCAGCTAGGAAGCTGAGGGAAGTGGTGGCAGCACAGGCATAATTTCTAGTTCCCTGGCCCAAGTAAAGGAAAGCCCTCTTCTCTTGATGCACATGGCCTGCATCAGACCAGAGCAAGAACAAAAGGAAGTAGCAATGCTGTGGGTACAGCTGGAAGTTGCCTGGTATGGGCACAGGCCAGTAATTTGCAACCTTTTTCATTTGCAGACCCCTAAAAAAATGTTGGATGGAGGTGTAGACCCCCTTGAATTGTAAGTGTGGGTGCTCACATACTTTTAATTGAACATAGTCATGTTTTGTGGACTCCGTAGACAGTCTACAGCCCCCTAGGGGTCTACACACCATGGGTTGAAAGCCATTGGCATTTACAAAGCCTTCCAGCTTTGTTGGACAGATCCAGTGGCTCCACAATACAGTTTGCTGACCCCTGCCCTAAACAACAACTCTACCACCTACTCTCTCTGCCACCTCTAGAAAAAATGAACAGGCAGAAGAGATTTCATACTTTTCATAGCCCAATATGTTCTCCTTAAGAAATATCTTTTACTATTTACATTTACTGATACACCTACAGTCATCTTTGAAGTGGTGAGGTTTTGATCAAGTTTCATTGCAATTGGAAGTGACATTTATTCAGTTAGGATAATATTAGAAAATTACTTAAGTGCAAAATCCTGCATTACTTGTCCACCTAAATGCTTTCAAATTAAGGAATAATTCATTCCACAAGTGATTTTATTAGGTGTGCAAGATAGTACGAGTATTAAACAGTCAAGTGTGTAGGAGTCCTCAACAAAAACCCCACAAGTCAGCTTTTTGGAATAAAACATTTTCTTCCTGTACATCTGTGGGATAGGGTGTGAGTTATACTGTTTGTAAAAATTGGTACCAAATAAAAACTAAGCGATAGGTGCAGTGATACAAGGCTGATTTTTCTAATCTGTTGTTGAAACAAGCACAATGGAGTACTTTATAGTTAGAAAAGGTGAGAAGAATCTATTCAGGACAGCACATTAGATAGAGCCAAGATTCATGCTTCACTTTTTTCCTCCTTGGCATGGATATTTCATGCAACAATCACGATTAGTTTCACTTTTCATTATTGCAGAACCACACTATGAACAGGAAGACTCAGCACAAAGGACTTCTTTTAACTTTTAGAATTTAAATTTGATGCAGCAAAGTTTATACAGTGCAAGAGTTATTAACAAAGGCACTGGAAATAACCAACCTCCAAAATATTCAATACAGTGTCAACTTGCCTTATACACAAAGCAGCAAGCCATGCTTATATCAGAATACTGGCAGATTTTCCAAGAACATCAATATTCCTAATACCTGCACAGAGGAGGATTAATACTTGGCAGGGTACAAGGACTGATGAGATGCCTGCAGCAGATGAAGTTTTCCAAACAAATTAAATTAAGTTTTCATGGAACTTACCTATTTGCAACAGAATCTTTTCTGCTTGCTGTTTTCTTTTGGGGATTTCTGGCTATGACTCACTGATCAAACTGAGTGACTTGTTTCCATCCCCCTTTCCTCCGTAGACTATGGCTATAGTCTTTCTAAAACATCAGTGTATACTTTGTGGGTATTGCTATGAGCAGCTTTGATTTTTGAAAATGGAAAAGCATTGTAAGCCACAAAAAAACAAGAGTTAAATGGCTTTTCTCTTAAGTCAAGATTTGATGAAACTATGATTGGAGACTTCAGTCCAACGAAAGCATTGACACTTCAGAAATGAGTTAGCTCCCAAATGACTCTAAACCTAGGGACACCCTTTACTAGGGTTATGGCATGGCCACTGTCAGCAGTTTTTTCTCCAGAAGTCCCTCTCAGCAAGTGCCATTTCCCCCTCACTATTCTCTCTCTTGGCTCAGGAAATCAGCAGCAGAAGATAGCACATACTTACAGCAAAAGACAAGGCACAGGAAATTCTAAGCATGAAGAACGCGGGCTCTTTGTGTTGAAGTGCAGCCTGGATATACATACAAAATAAAAAGCAAAGCAAGACTGGGAAGTGGTTTTAAAATGAAATAAACAAAAAAAAAAAAAACACAAAAACAAAAAACCACAGAGGGAGAGTATGCATGCATGTGCTGTAAACAAGAAGCCACCCAGGTCCTCTACTTCTGGGCAGCCAGGATGAGTACCCACTCTCAGTGCAGAACAACATGTCGAAAATATATACACATTTTATAAAAGCCAAGAAACTACTTTTAATCCTCTACATTTTAATGACCTTTCTGCTATACGAATTAAAAAAAAAATAAAAAAAAAATCAAATAGCAACAAAGGAACCAGCTGGACTGCCAGAGTCTAATAGAGATTTTGAAGTGAAGCCTGTTTCAAGCAAAAATTAATTTATTACAAATGTTACACAACAGGTTTCCTTCATTCTTATGTCAAGTTATGTTAAATCAAGTTGGTGTCTGCATTACTTACCCAAAATGCCAAAAAAAAAGTATAACGAAAGAAAAACCCAGTAAGCTACATTAGAACTAGATACAATAGAATCTATGCAGCCACATGAGAAATGGTTTCTGCTGCTCTGTTATTACACAGGTAGTTGGTTCTATCAGCTAAAGCCTAGTGACTTGGATTTGTTTTATGCATATTGGGTTTTGTTCTATTACTTTGCAAGAGATTGTACTCCCTTGAGTCAGCTATGTTCATTGGTCAGAATAAATTCCAGCATCTGACACCATTTCCATTAATCACGGACAAGCCAGTATATGTGAGCAAGATAATAGAAAGATAAAAACAGTATCTGGTGAATGGTAGACATTATTTATGTATGCTGTTCACTAATACAGTAGAAGGTATCTGAAAGACATTCTTTCAGTTTTGATTGACAATAGGGAAGAAGGAGATGGGCATCATATGGAACATTTAATCCACAGGGGGAGAGTTTAGAGCCATACTGGTCAAGTATTACTCAAGTTATATCATATACTTGGGCACTAACAATGGATCTTTAAGGAGTCATAGCTTTTCCCTGTGCATTGACAGCTAATTTTTAATGTTTTGGTATTAACCTGTTAAAAAAAAATAAATCACAGTTTCTTACACTGACCTCAAGCTGGGACCGTGAATTTCAATACTTCTGCTCAGTTTTAGGCAGGGAACAATCATAAAACAATGGCGTTAATCATTTTATCATGCCAAATTCCTTTGAAATCTGAAATAACCTGACATAGCATGTTTATTCTGATTATTATACATGCTAGCCACTTCACTCTCAGCCAGCTCTACGAAACCAGGCAGCTTTAGAAAAATGCTGTAACTTGCATCTGCTTTGAAGTTCCTGATTTAAAGGAAAAGAAGTTTTCATATCAGTCACCCAAATACATCCTTACTTGGACACATAACAGTCTATATAAAGCAGGTAGCTATAATTTGAAAGATTTTCATTTTCTTTAAAGATTAAAAACTAAGTTGTGTGGCTTAATAATTGTTATTTTAAGCAATAGTTAAAATTGCTCAAATTAAGGCTTCTCAGTGTTTTAAAAAAAGGGTTAGTAGTAGCTTTAGAAACCAAGCAGTTAAAAAGAGAAGATTTCAGTGATGTGCAAAGGAGGCACATAACAATCACTGTCATTTTGTTACGGTGATTTTGCAGCAGGCACTATTGTGCATAGAATACATTTCATTCTTGGTCTGAACTGAGAAAACAAAAAATAGAGATCCATGAATTGCAACTTTCAGCAGCATCTAATTATGGTATTTACATACTTATGATACGACCATCTAAAACAGGAAATCCTAGGAATTTTTGTTTTTTATATGGTACAAATAAAAAAAACATTACTTTGAGAAAGATACCTCACATTTTCTTCCTGGCAGTGCCTGTTCCTAGACCAGAGGGGAGAGAATTCCAATTTTAATCTTTGCTTGAGCAATCCAATCAGAAAGATCACCAAAGTAAGCTCACAGCTTTTAGAAGACGTTTCTAGCAGAGGAAACCAAATGCTTTTACAAGCAGTATTATGTACATACAGCACACTGAAGTACAGAGCTGAATTACTTAATTTTATTCCAAGAATTAAATTCTTAAGTCTGCATAATGCTTTGCAAGGGTGTGATATTTTCCATACATGAGAACTTTTGAGTCCAATTCTGATTTGCTGACACCTGCACTGCCTTCAATAATGATTTACAGCAGTGAGAGACCAGAACTTGTCTTGGAATAAGACAAAACAAAAAACAAAAACATACAACATACTTCCACCTTTTACCTAACTGCTTTGCTCTTTCAAAAGTTCCAGCAGTCAGGTGCCTATTCAGAACCAGCCTCAATTCCTTCTACAAGCCACTTAGCTCTTGTGCAGGCAGTTTTGGTTACACCGATCCAGGTAATCTACTGGATAGTTTGACAAAGATGCTTTGTTTTTTGTTTCCCAAAACACAGTCTCACTAGGTTTTGGCGGGCTTGGGAATACCCAGGAATTATCTTCCAGAGAGCTCTTTCCATACGAATTGTGTTCCTGAAACGCTGTAACGCCAGCTGGGATGGTGTTCTCATCTGTCCATGATTGGAGATTTTCCCTTTCAGACAACATGTTTATACCTCTTGGCAGAGGGGAAGCTATGGCATTGCAGAGTACTTTGTCATTTTGTGAAGGAGAGGTTTTTTTGTAGAATGCCCCAGAAGAAGTCAAACATAACTTTGTGAGGTCCTTCTCCAGGTCTTCAACACACTGTACTGGTGTACAAGAGGCAGCTGGAGAGAGAAGACAAACAAACTTTATTCTTTAAAGAGCTGCATAAAATTAGAAAATGTTGGCTATTTCTAAGGGTATCAAAAGGGTATATCTAGATATATTACACTATCTAGTAAAAAGGGTAGGTATTTTCAACTGGCATGTTTTTAGGACCATCTCTCTTGAGCATTCACTAATTAATGAACACAACGTTGACTCTTTAAATACATTTTTGAAAGTTTCACCCTAGCACTTGAAATAGCACTCTCTCAGTATATTACTCGGGGAAGCTAACCAATTCCCACAGTTGCACTGGGGGGCCTAATCGAGCTCAAGTGGTTTGCCAAGGCTACTAGAAGTGTTGCCCCAGAGATATAGATTGAGAGAAATCCAGAATATTGCCCAACTACAGGAAATCTTGCTTCTCATGTTGCTGTTGTGTTTAGTAAATTGCATCCTCCTGCTGCCAGGCTTTGAACTCTTGCAGAGTCCAAGAAACATCTCCCTTTTCCTGGCTTAGTGCTCACAGGTTGGATTGTTCATGTTGAGAGGTAGCCTACCTGCTGGAAATATAGCAACAGACTGCAAGCCTGGCCTACCACTCCAGGTAACATTCAGTACACTCTGAAAAAATGTGTGGGAAAGGGACTAGCTACGTTGTGGACAACATGGGACCAGAGGAACTACAGTGCTCAGAGCAGGCAGTGTTCTCTCTCACATTTCACTACAAATTCAATGAGGATTAGCAATTGTTTCTGCTGGAGTCTCCCAGTTATAAGAAATCCATACCTGAGAGGCAGTTTCATACTCTAGCTATGAATTCTGAGTACAAAATGTAGCTTATAACCACAGCAAAGGGATGTAGCCTCACCCTGCCAAGGAAGGTCATTAAATGGCAATTTATTTGCAAGTTTCAGTTAAAAGCATTTCCCAATGGCTGGTTAGTCAAATCTGAAAGATATGGATTCTGTGACTTGCTCCCTTTGTGCCCACAGTGTAAAAAGCAGCTTTTGAGTTCATCCATGGGCACAAGGAAGAACAACCACCATTACACTGCCCCAGATACTGTAGATATTAGAATTGCTAAAACATTGAGGCAAATGAGACACTTAATTCATACACAAGTGTAAAAAAGTTGGAATGAACTAGTTCAACTGAACTTTGACAGCTAGCTATAGCAGTAGCATAGCTATTTACACCAGTGTGGAACAGTACAGCCCCCTTGAGTGGAAGGGAGGAATATTTTGCAGCCAGCTGGCAGCTCGAGTTAGAACTGCTTAATGAAGATTGCAGATTCAATACATGTAATATTCAAATTAAAAGTTCTTTAACATCTCAGTAACACAACTCCTAAGAATAATGAGGGCTGGGATGTAGCCATATGGACAACCATGCCCTACTAGTGTAGTAGGTTTCTCACACACACACACACACACACACACGTTTCACACACACACACGCACACACACACACACTTACTTTGAATTAATGGCAAGAGACCCAGTTTAGAACTGATACCTTGTTATATCATGTTCTACAAACTCAAATACAGCCTCTGCCCTAACGATTTTGCTCTGTTTTGACTGTGTAACCTACTACTAGAATGCTTGCACTGAAGGAATTGTTAGAATTAAAAAGGTATCCAAGAAGTGGAAGCAACTGCAAGTTGACCAAAGCCTCTGCTGCAATGTTCAGTCAGTAACAGTCTGCTTTAATTTGGTCAGCTCAGAATCATGTCGCTGGAATACCTGAGGAGAAAGTGAGACTTTCTGCAGACAGAGCTACAAAAGAGAAACATATTTCCTCATAACCACTGCATCATCAAGAACCAGCTAGTAAAAACGACAATGCCTTTTGTGGACAAGATCTGACAAGCTATCAGCCAAGTAAAAACTCTGTACAAGGGCAGACTTGGTCTACTGACAGCCACTCTCATTTCTGCTTCTACACTTCAGAATCACATCAACTCACACCGCTTCCTAGGGTGGATGTCTAAAGAGATCAGAATGACCTCTGTTCGTATCAGGAGCTACAGCATTATATTTTCTTTCATCTTAAAATTTGCCGTGGTTCTGCCTTCTCCTGGAAAAAGGTATGGCAAAGCATCAGAAAACACGTTTTCTTTCATGTCATGTCTACTATCATGGATGAAAGGATTTCCAAAAAGTGCTTCAGGAGGCTATGGGCTGAGGCAAGTTTGTTCACCAGATAACATAGGTCACTGACAGATTAATGGAGTACACAAGCATCCTGCAATAATTAAAATAGCAAATACTTCTGAGTTCTACAGATATTAGGGAAATGGACAGCATAAAAGAAGAGGGCTGCTGTTACAGATTTAAATAACTTGCATGTTTGAAAAAACAAAAAACTTAAAAGTACCATAGTAGGTGGAGAGAAGAATCTCTTTACACCAGCACAGTACTTATTATTACCATTATTATTACCATTTCTTCAAAGATATTCCATATCGTACCAAACTTTTCCATATAAAACTGCCTATACTAAAATGAACTAAGCATGTATTCAACACTACTGGGAAAAGAGATAGTGATTCTTATGGGAACTGAATTCTTTGTTAGTGGCCTAGTTTTAGCTATATAAATTCACAGTCTAGTCACCTTTACTTCACTATTTTACTTATCCAAATTATGACTCAAGTCAAAAGTGTGCCCTCAAATATACACTGGGAAAACCTTCGAGATAGTCATGGAATAACTGGGCAGGTAGACTTGCACCTTATACACGGTCAGAGATGTGCAAGCTTTTGTAAGCAATGGCTTACTTCCTCAACTGCTGTCTGATGTGGAATAATGAGACATTTGTTAATGAGGATAGTGTATACCTATTCTTCAAGTGCCTCATTTTCATGACCCTTGAAACCAACTCATGTTTAAAAGAGATGATGACTGCACTAACAACTTTTGAGGCAAACTGATTCTCCCTTGAATAATCCAAAACCTGGCTCAAGTCAATGTTCCTCCACATGGTAGCACTGCAGGTGCATTAGGATAGTGTTCCATAAACAAATAATGTTGATAAACCGTGCAGGGTACATCTAATTTTTTTGTCTCTCCTCTTGCAGTTTTCCAGTCTTAAGCCCACATGCCTTTATGTAATAATTATTAATAAAAAAAAAAAGTCTAGAAAGCAACAGTAGCAAAAGTCTATGCAGTCTAACAGACCAATCAATAATGCTGCTTCCTGTATCTTTGGATACAATGATTCATTATCAACTGCACAACATGCTCCTGAAACAAGTTTTTATTCACCAGAGGGAAGAAGGGAATTGTGCATTACCACATGTGTATAATAAGCCAGACAAGCAACCCTGAAAACTTACGTCAGAAAACGAGTACATCATGTGGGTAGTTGTAAGTTGGCAAACAATACACCAAAAACCTGTCATGGACAATTTTCAGTTTCTACAGTGACACTGGATTAATAAGCCAGCGTTGAATATATGTGGTTTAGTTCATTTCAGTATACGCACTTGCATACGGAAAAGGTGGTCAGTACTGTAACTACAATTTCAGCAAGCATTTACGTAGTAGGTACTTGACTGAAGTTGCTAACCCATTTTACAGACTAGCAGCCAACTTTCAGATTATCTTAGTTTCATAGTTGGTAGGGTCGGAAGGGACCTGAGCAGATTATCAAGTCCGACCCCCTGCCATGGGCAGGAAAGAATGCTGGGGTCAAACAACCATGGCTAGGTGATTATCTAGCCTCTTTTTGAAGACCCCCAGCGTAGGAGCGAGCACCACTTCCCTTGGAAGTTGGTTCCAGATCCTAGCCGCCCTGACAGTGAAGTAGCGCCTCCTGATATCTAGCCTGAATCTACTCTTGATCAACTTATGGTCAATTATTCCTCATTACTCCTGGTAGTGCTCGGGGGACCAGGGACTCTCCCACAGCCTGCTGTTCCCCCTTGGCCAGTTTGTAGATGGCCACCAGATCCCCTCTCAGCCTTCTCTTGTGGAGACTGAATAGGTTCAGGTCCCGCAGCCTCCACTCGTAGGGACTGCCTTGCTGCCCCCTGATCATGTAAGTGGTCCTCCTCTGGACCCTCTCGATGCTGGCCACATCCCTCTTGAAGTGCGGTGCCCAGAACTGGACGCAATATTTCAATTGCAGCTTGACCAATGTCACAGAGGGGGAGGATCACCTCCTTGGACCTGCTCGTGATGAATCTATGGATGCATGACAAGGTGCGGCTGGCCCTACTGACCGCGTCCTCACATTGGCAGCCCATATTCATCTTGGAATCAATGATAACACCAAGATCCTTTTCTGCTTCTGCACTGACGAGAAGGGAGTTCCCCAGCCTGTAGGTATGCTGCTGGTTCTTCCTCCCCAGGTGTAATACCTTGCACTTGTCAGTGTTAAATCCCATCCTGTTCTCATCTGCTCACCCCTGTAACCTGTCTAGATCTAGCTGCAGCCTGTCCTTCTCCTCCAGTGTGCCCACTTCTCCCCACATTTTAGTGACAGCCGCAAATTTGAACAAGGCGCTTTTCACCCCCTCGTCCAAGTCACTGATGAAGATGTTGAACAGTGTAGGCCCGAGGACCGAGCCCTGGGGGACCCCACTGCCCACATCCTTCCAGGTCGAAAAAGACCCATCCACCACCACTCTCTGGGCATGGTTCTCTAGCCAATTTGTGACCCATCTGACTGTGTAGGCATCGATGCCACAGTTGCTTAATTTCTTAATGAAAATGGGGTGAGAGACAGTGTCAAACACCTTCCTAAGGTCCAGAAAGACTACATCCACCATGACACCTGCATGCAAGGATTTTGTGACCTGGTCGTAGAAGACCACCAGGTTGGCCTGACAGGACCTGCCTCGAATGAACCTGGTTGCCTCTAAGCGTGATCTCCCCTGCTGGTCCTTCGCAGATATGCTCCTGGATAATTTTCTCAAAGAGCTTCCCCAGGACCAAGGTAAGACTAACGGGCCTGTAGTTTCCTGGATTCTCCTTCCTCCCTTTTTTGAAAAGGGACCACACTGGGCCTT